ATTAATTTTGAGAAATAAAAATGGAAAGCCCATTTGTCCAAAATTTTTTTTAACGGGTAATCGGTTCGGTTTGGTTCACCATAGCTAATATCATACCCGCCCCTAAATGAAGCGGTTCGTTAAAATCAAAACTATAACCGCCCCGTTGCACCATCGGTTCGATTTTTTTCGCCCCATTCGGTTCGGTTAACCGCGGTTTTCGATTTTCACAGTTCGAATTGCCATCCCTATTGACAATCGATTCTTACGATTGTTTTATAATAGATTTTTTTCTTTTTCTTTTTAAATAATAAAATTCGTGAAAATTGATTTTTGGAAAAATGTGATTTAAAAGTTAGGCTTTCACATTTAAGTTTTAAAAAACTTACACCGGATAAGGAGTTAATGATAAAAATAGTTTTTGTAGTCTTCATGTGAATCTCACATTTCACCTTTATGAAGATTTTGCTTTTCAATATACGATATTTGTTACTCCCTCCGTCCCAAATATATAGGCTAAGTTTCCTTTTTCTTTTGTCCCAAATATATATACATGTTTCTTAATATAGAATATTTTGTTGTGTTCTTTTATCAATATACCCTTATTGAATTTCCCGAATATAGAACATCATCTAACATCTCTTGAACATAGTCAAGTTTCTCAAGAGAGCACTTTTGTGAAGGTCTACCTTTAATTCTATCTTCAGTGGGAATCACGAACTCAAATGAGTATTCCATTTCTACATCGATGAACAAATATGAAAAATTTACAGTAATGTTAAGTGATACTCAGTACAATTCATTTTTAAAAACAGATAAATGACAAGGTGACATTTTTCAGAATTTCATAAATGACAGGGTGCCATTTTCAAAAATAGATAAACTTCAGAATGCCATACTGGAAGATTCAGCCAATAACATATCAATTATCACAAGCTCAACCAAGTAAATGCAATTGTCATCATGTAAAACATGCAAAATACTACCATAAATTTGTTCCAATCATGGGTAAGATGACAAAGTAACCCTCTTTTTATAAGAGATTTTTTAGGCATTACAAATTTAAAAGTTGAAGAATAGATCATTCTGCTCAAGACAAAAACAAAGTAAAAATATCCAATCTCTTCTTATTTGCATACATCCGACACTAGCTAGTGCATAACCATTAAAACCTTCGTCTACAAGCACTATGACAACCAACGCCAACTCAATATCTTCCTTCCCACAAATTGCCATCCTTATATACTGCAAGAGCTGTGACCATTAGTTATCATTTATTAGCACATAACTTCAGGAAACATTTTACAGATCATCGCTTTACACCTCCTAGTACTTTAAGTATCCGCAAACTAAATTTGGAAGGCAACTTCCAAATGCCAAAAATGCCTCCAATGTATCTATTTTTCTAAAATGTGCCTTCTATTTTCTTCATTTATTAAATGTCTTGTCTTCTGATTTATTGATGCATAACACTCTAACAAGGGTGGCAGAAATAAGTTATCTCCACTAAGTGCTGCCCTCTATTCTCCCTATCTAGAAAACTCGATTCTTCCCTTCACCCAAATCAATTAAATAGATTTTCACTTTCTTCAATATATTCATCTATTTATCAAAGCATTTCATATTAGAACTCTTGTTTGCATGGAAAAGACTAATAGCACTATAGAAATTCAAATCCACACAATCACCATAGTATCTGCACCACAAAAATAAAGAAAGTAAAGCTAAATAGAATCTGAAACTACCTTCCCAGAAACTGCCTGCCAATGTCCATCAACTCAGCCACGCTATTGTTACCATCGCGTACATACTCCAAAATCTGTTCAATAGCCCCGAAAAGATTGTACATTAAACCAACACAGTTTCTAATACAAAACTGAAACTCATGCAGCTCAACACATGCAAACAAGGTACAATTCTATCCTCACTAAGTATGGTTAGCTAAGCGTAAGATAAGTATTAATCACTTTTGGGGCATTTTTTGGAGAGATTTTTTTAAAATATATTTCTCCTAAATCATTTCCAACCACATATTTTATGAACTCATAATTTTTCTTTACTTTTTAATCACACTTAAAAAATCATTTTTCACTTGGAAAATCTTTCCCAAACAAATGCTTAATTAACTTTTTTATTTTGAAATATAATTGGATATGCAACCATTTTCTTACTTTCGAAGAAAAATGAGACTAGTTGAAAGCAATTGTTACCGTACTATTATTCCAACCATGACCAGTGAAAAAAATATCTATTTTAAAACTTATTAATAACAATGAATACGAAAAACACATTCGTTCACTGTCACGTCCGGTTTGAGTAATTAACATAAACGTAATTTTTCTAAATATCAAATAAACTTCTAAAAAATTGAAATAAAATCCCCAAAATTCAGAGAATACGAATACCTGAGTAACTATAAGAGAAGCAGCTTTTGTGTAATTGAACCTTATGCCACGAACTAAACGTTTCTACGCAAGGTATCCAACATTATGGAGCATCAATTTTTCAATTTTTTCAATTTCTCTTGGCTAAACTTATGGACCGATTTTGAATGGTAGAAGGGTTTGGAGATGATAAAACCACGAAAAGAAAATAGGAACGGTTTGAGGATCGTAAGAGAGAAGAAATGTATCAGATTTATGGTTTTGGGAATTCAATTGATTTGAAAAAATGGGAAATTACGTTTTGTTGAATAAGGGTATATTAGGTAGTTTATAAATTATGATTTAAAATATTTATTTTAAACATATTATTATGGTCAAAGGCTAAAATCCCAAATTGTATTATGAAAGAGGCTATTTGACCCAATTACCACATCATCTTCTTCCTCTCACCATGTGATCATGCCCTTAAAAATTAGACGATTTCACGTCTTCTCTGGTGATGGTCGCCGGAGATCTACAACAGTTTCCCTTGCAAATATAAAGCGAATTTAAGCAGTTTTGAAGTAAACTTTCACGAAAAAAACCCTAAACCTAACCTCGTAGCTAGTGTATCGCATGATTGAGATACAAAATCCTAACCCTATATAGAGTAGATTACAGCACAGGACACAGTCTCTACGATATTTTCACATAGAAGGTGCTTTTTTTTGTGTGTGTGAGAAAATGGTACAAATTTCAGTGCAATTAGTGGTGGGCATGGTGAAGTTTCAGATACTTTTGTAGAGTAGAAACTCTTTTTTCGATTTTTAATTGGTGGAGATTGAGGTAGAGGTGGAGGTGGTCGGGTGGCTGATTTTGGGTTTGAGGTGGGGGGATGGGGGTGAGAGGAAGAAGATGATTATGTTTTTTTTTCCTTATTTTTTTTTAAAATTTAATTAGTTTTATTATTTAATGTGATAAATAGAAAGTTATTCTTTTACCTCTTTTTAAAATATTAAAAATCTGGTTGAAGTTAAGTTTTTGGTCAACTGATGAAATTACGGATGGAAACTGTCCAAAAGGGCTTCACTTACAACGTTTGAAAATGTTAAGAGTGATGACTGCAATAAAGCAAAGGTTTCGGGAAAAGTCTACTGTGTTTCAAAGATTTGATATTTTTGCTGCAATTATCTCTTAAAAATATTTTCAAAAAAATTTATTTAATAAAGAATATAAATATTATTTAATTAAAATTTAAAAAATTAAATTTTATCATAAACAGAAAAGAATTAAAAATAATTTTAAATAAAAAAAATATTATTTATAAAATGAAAAAAAAAACAATTAAGAAATTTTAAAAATATTTCAAAAAAATTATAATAATAATAAAAAAAAGAAATTAAGCAAAAAGAAATTATGAAAATTAAATAAAGAATATAAATATTATTTAATTAAGATTGAAAAAAAATTAAATTTTATCATAAGAAGAGAAGAATTAAAAATAATTTTAAATTGAAAAAAAAATGAAGAAAAAACAAGACAAAAAAAAAAAAAGACGGCTTGATAGTAGACTCAAAACCGATTGTGAAACACTGTTAATCTATCTAAATAATGAAGAATAATATATTTTTTTTTCAATGATCAAACCATTATGGAAATATGGCCGGATCAACCAACAATTTCCCAGTATTTCCTCTCTTAGACAAACGGGAACTGGGAAGAGGATTATAGGGTCACAAAATGGGCTTGCCAACCAATGAAAAAACCGGGCAGAGTTATGGCCCAAAATGTTAACGGCATATTACGAGTGTTTTGAATATTTGATTTACGAATAACTAATATGTTTAGCAACAAATTTTTGGCCATAGTCTAAATTCTTTTTCTTTGGGATGGGTGTTTAAACTGTATATCAATTTTACTATTCTTTTTTGTTTTTGTTTTTGTATCTTTTCTTTTATTTATTCATTTTAAATGAAACCGACGGAACAATGATTATATTGTTAGAATTTTGACATTTTAACGATCAAACTGTCAATTTCCTTCATGTACAAACGTTAGAAAAATTTAAAATCTCAAGTGGCAAAAATCAGAAGTTCAGGATCTCGTCGTTACAAAGGTTCGAAATCCTACTAAAATTTACCCAAAAAATATAATGGGTTGGTATTACTCCAAGTATCTAGTTTACATAAATTCGTTCCCATTGGATAGGTATATTTTACGGGTTTATCTTTTTATTTATTATATAATTTATTCTATATTTTCATACAAAACTTTAAATTAATTTATTCTCGTTTTATTCCTTTAAATAATGAACAGCGGTGGATGTCATGGAGCCGGGCTCTTTGGTGGTGCATGTTTTGATTGTTTTGGACAAAAGTAGATGAGAAACATATCAAATTTGTTAATCATGCTCATCAGTATCCAATCTAGCATACAAAACATACTATTATGTTGTTGCATAACCTCGGGCAAGAGGCAAATAAGGTATTTCACGCCCTCGGAATCTATACATTAGCACGAGATCGTGGACATGTTTTTGACCGGGAAATTTTCCCAAGTTTGTGATACAAATGGAGCCGATGATTTGTTTTATATACTTCTGTAATCCTTTCAATAGTTGTAATTGCTAGAAAACAAACATGGAGGCCTTCTTACCTTATGTCCTTCCTCTCACAGTCATCTCCTTTTCTTCCTCTACCTCATCGTATTTTCTCGCAAAACCAGGTTCTTGTGGCTCGAAATTGCCTCCAGTACATGGGGATGGCCGATGTTGGGAGAAAAAATGGAATTTGCTTTATTAGGTCCACAAAATTCTTCACGGGTAGGATGGATCAGTACTCACCTGAGGTATTCCAAACCTCCCTGGGAGAAAAAATGGCAATATTTTGTGGTGCTCAAGGAAACAAGTTACTTTCAGCAATGACAACGAATTTGTCACCTCATGGTGGCCACAATCAATGAAGAAAGACGTGGTATTTCCTGAATTCAAACAAGTAATTTCAAGGAAGTATCAGTTCTAAAACGTAGTTTTCTCCTCAATATTCTTAAGCACGAGGCTATAAAACAATACACAATCAGTTATGGATGACATGGCTCGTGAACACTTAGATGCTGACAGGACACCTAATCGAATAGTGAAGGTTTTTCTATGTGGAAGAAGGATACATTTGCATTGAGCTTGTAGATTGTTTTTGAGTGTAGTTGAACCCGAGCATATAAAGAGGCTGTCTGATCCCTTTTCTCTCATGACTAACGGAATGTTCTCCGTGCATATGCCTGGCACGGCCTATAATCACACTATCAAGGTGGAAAAATTGAGCCTGAAGAGTTTATAAATATTATCAAGCACACGAGAAACGAGTTAAATAGAGAACAAAGAGACTGAGGGTGAGGATCTATTGTCACGAATTCGTGACAGATGAAAATATATATACATATATATATATATANTCCGATCCATTTACAGCCCTACTCATGACTAATGGAATGTTCTCCGTGCATATGCCTGGCACGGCCTATAATCACACTATCAAGGTGGAAAAATTGAGCCTGAAGAGTTTATAAATATTATCAAGCACATGAGAAACGAGTTAAATAGAGAACAAAGAGACTGAGGGTGAGGATCTATTGTCACGAATTCGTGACAGATGAAAATATATATACATATATATATATATATTCAAAGGTAAATTATCGAACTGTTACTTGTATGTTGAGATTACCTGCTAGAAACTTTAGGAGAATGAAAATCTGAAAAAGAACGAATGGAGATTGCGAGATTCTGTGTCTCCCGACCTGAAAAAAATTGCCAAAACGACAAAGGTCTCAACGACAAGAATATTATATTCCTACACAAACAACCCCCTTAGCATTTTTGCAATTGTGAGGGTTCTGTCCACAGTCAATCCTCGTGTTTTTTCCAGCTCGAGAGAAGGTCTTTCCATGTATTATTTTTGGTAACATCATTGGCATCGTTGGTGAGAAGTGCTATTGAAAGTCACGGTAGACACACGATTAGGATGTTCTGCTTCTAGGCTCTCTGCCCAAGGATCCACTGGTCCTCATGTTACTACTCCCAGGTACCCCCAATTAGCGAATCCTCCTCTCGCTCTGGATAATCATGAAGAGGATTCCCCAATAGATTTACAAGGTCATCACGCTTGGGAGCACCCCCGGCTCCTGTGGCACCTTAACCACTAATAAGACCATAGAAGTTCAATGACTGTACTGCACATCTTTCAGTATTTTTATTATAACGTTTTCTCCAACTATCTGATTTAGATGATTCAAGATGATATGGAAATATAACTCAAAGGGCTACAACTTTGCTTCAGATATCATTTTCCAATTCAAACGTTTTGCCATGCCAAAAATGAATCTCAAGATGAGACTACAAATATGGAGCATAACTTTTTCGGTTGGAAAATGATGTGTGATCATACTTTAACTATATTTGATCACTTTGACTTCTTTCTTCATTCAATTGACTCCAAGCACTCTCGAATCTTCATTTTGAGGTCCGACACAACTTTTGAGTATTTACACTTTAGTCCCCGAACTTTGAATCTCAAACAATTTAGCAATTTTCTCCAATTTTGCCAACTCTTACTTATTTCCTTCAATTTCATCAACCTATATCACAACGTCAAAACACACATTAAAACGTTCTAAAACTCTCTTAAGGATAATAAAATAACGAATTAAGTGATATAAATATCATGAGTGTAGAACACTCATCATGAACCTCTTGCTTTAGGGAAAAAATTCTTGTGTTCCTCTTATTCTTTATTACTAGCACTTCATAGTTCTGTGATTTGTTGGTAAAGTTGTCTAAAAATTTGAACAACATCTTAACATCAATATATTCCTTTGAAATACAGAAATGACATGTTAGGTGACGTGCATTTGACATGTTCGTTCCACAATCTATCTAGTCTGGTGTTATCCAGTAATAGATATCAAACATGCCCTTAACGAAATTCCAGCCACTAGTAATCGCTGCCAATGTTTCATGCACCGATGCGCCTTAGCATAATGTAAGCAAATAATCGATATCCTACAAACATGATCAATAAAATGCCGATGCTCATAGTAGGATGGATATTTCCTCTAATATCTTCCTCGATAAATTTGCAGCCTGCTCTTTCTTGATCCCTAGATGAGCAATCGAGCAATGAGGAAATCACCTTTCCATCTCCATATTGAACATTGATGAGAAGTCTATATGTATAAAATGTGGTAGAAATGTACTTCATCCATGACATGAAAGATGGTACTTTATGAACATAGTATCCTCCTGTTAGCACGAATGCTAGCATTGTGACAGTTACCAACGTCGAAGCTTGTTTGGCATCCATGATAAGTGCACCAAATGCAAGGCCAAGCCCTTGAGACACGAGAACATAACTGAGCACGACTATTAGTGTCATTAGAAAAGCATTGAGTTCAGGTTTTAGTCCGGTCATCCAATAAACTATGGTGAGGAATAATATAGGCAGGATTAGTTCCATAGGCAGGTCCCCGGTGATTCGGGCCATGAAATATGACGAGAGCTTATACATACCCGAAGCTCGTTCCTTTGCTAAAATTGCTCGTTCTTGAGGAAAGGCAAATGCAGCATTGAAAGACGATAAAACACCCCAGAAGATGGAAATGAAGAAAAGGAGACCGAGACGATCCTGAATATCAGTGTAAGAAGAGTGCCACCACATAAAACCGGCTAAAATTGAGGCTGTAATGACTTGAAACACTCTCAACGAATTGAAGGTCTCATATTTCCTTTCCTTGAGATTTCTTTGTAGGAGAACGTTGAACTCATTGAACCATGTCGAAAAACTATCAATGCAATTGTGTCTAGATTCTTCGAAGATCACTGTATCCTTCGCATCTGTACTCGTGGCATCAGTGCAATAGGCTTTAACCTTTGGAGCCAGTAAATTATAGTAAGATGATACAAGGGTTTGCCTCACACTAGGCTGCTCTTTCTCACTTGTACCATCAAGTTGGCACACCCCTGCATGTGAAATCATATATCAGCATATTTTCAGAATCGGATTGTGGGATAGAAAGACTTAATTTTGACAGCACGATAACAGTCACTTTCATAAGAAAAAAACATAAACTATTTAGACATTTCTTTCTATCTTATGCTTGGCCAAACTAGCTTAAGGAACAATGTCTGATAAAATGCTGTAACTACCTATTTCTCTCATTAATCGACAGCATAAAATGGCCACATCACGTCCCCAGACGAAATCTACTTTGATTGTTATAAATTGTCTTCTCCAAGTGCTTCTACAAACTTCAATCATTGATCCTTAAACAATCTCAATAAATTTGAATCGATTACAAGAATCGTTTTTCGACTGTTCTTCGTCCTTATGGTAAAAATCACTAAATGTAAAGAATATGAATATATATTATGGATAAGTAAAGATTCATATACATTATTATATCGAAAAGAGTATTAAAATTTCCTAATAATAGAATGCAGAAGAGGGCTAATTAAAGCTGTCCAATGTTGGAAGTGAGTTGGGAATCCACTGAAAATAGTGGTGTTAATGGACCACCATTTCCACTTCCTTTTGTTTCAATAGTTACTAAACCACTTAGTTAACAAATCACGGTACACAAAGATTTCCTAGTACAAAGAAGAAACCAAGAAGCAAATGCAATCGATGCTCAAGAGAAAACAACAAAATTCCATCAAATTTAAATAAATAACACGTTGGTTACCATATTTGAAAGACAGAAAATAATAATTGGCTTATTAATCCATCAATCATGTCATGATAAAGATTCAACAAAAGCACATTCACTATCTGTTGTTGGTGGAATTACTCGAGTTCTCTACTTCTTAGGTTCATATCAACATTCCAATGTTTCAAAGATAAATATTTTGATACCATCCATAAGTATGTTAAGGGATAGAATCCCACATCAAATAAAGATATAAACATGAACCAACTTATAAAGGATTTGGTTACTCCTCTTAACAAGGTTGACCTTTTAAGATGGAAGTCCAATTCTTAACATGGTATCAGAACCCATTAAACTCTAACGAGCAATTCGATCCGATTAAGACTCCAAAAGTGAGCATACGGATTTCAAGATTGGTTTGTTCAAACGAGCCACCATCTTGGGGGGACATGTCCCTTAACAAAGTAATCGAAGATTGTGTATTTGGTACATATTTTTGCCCTTCCTAAAATTTTCCGTCTCTTCTACATGAAAATTCCGAATCTATCACTACCCACAACCCACTAGTCTTTTCGTCAGATGCTATCCTACGAAGCAATGTCGTCACCTCTATCGAATAGAAAAATAAGTGAACAAAATATCAACTTTTATGCCTGCATGGAACAATTTTATACAAAGAAAGAATATTTTAAAAAGTCAAAATGCATTCCACATTGATTTTATATCATTTATTAGCTATAATATTGGTTTATAGGCATATCCCACCAATCTATTCTTGAAAATGAAAAGAAAAAAAGATAAAAACTAAACATATATAAACCCCTTGTCAAAGCCTCAATATCCAATCTTTATGCTCTTTTACTTTATATGGTAGTGGTGTATAGCACAAAATGAAGAGACCTGACAACACTTGTCGCACTTTTACAAGACACACAACCAAGGACGGCTCAAGTAATCAAACGTACGTTACAATTTGTGATAGCAAAGGTATGCTTTCATTGTCCCTCCAAATAAGAACATATAAATAGCACAAATAGTCTGTACGATTCACAATTTTTATTAACTTTTCAATCAATGTTTCATCAAATTTTATTAAAATCTGCTAGAACTTTTATCAAAAAATTTGTCAAACAACCCCTTTTTCATTAGTACTAAAAATCCGTATAGACGACTTTAAAAGTCGAAGCATGACATTTATGTAAAGTAATAAAAAATGAAAAAGTATGGAATTATCAGTTTGTATCTGACAAAGAATGGGGCATAGATTGAGTTTTGAAGATCATTGCCCCATTCTCTCCATTTACTTTAAAGTGTCCTAAAATTTATAGATCATGGAGATGGGCACATTTCACAGAACTCCACTCCATTGATAATGGCTTCTCAATGTAAATAAATGTGTGTGTGGATATAATATGCTCTTCTCAAGGAAAAATACACGATGTCACTTTCTCAATACTTTCACCATAACGAGTCACTCATACGTATTTCGTCTATCTATATCTTCCTTAATATTCGACTGTATACTAAAATACAACACGAAATAAAATTTAACCTTTTTCCCTAAACAGTTTTGGGTACATCTTAACAATCTTTCTTCTGATTTTTACTGCCCACCTCAAATTGAGATTTATTTAATATTTTAAATCTTGAAAGTTCAACTATAGCCATCATATACAATGGTTATTTTTTACTCTGAAAAATTAAAAAAGATGAGACCAAATTGTTTAAAAACTGAATGAAGTAGAAAAATTATTATAATTATTTTCACCAAAAATTTAAAAACATGAACTCCTTTATAGCATTATATCAAGTAATTCAAAAGAAAAATACATATGGAATATGATAAAACTAGATAACTCAGATAATTTAATTAATATCAAAATAAAAATAAATTTATTTATACGATAAATTGAATAAAACTTGATAAAATTAAAAAATATATGAAAATTATTTATCCCTAGTCACGTCTTGATGTTGTTAGTACCCCGTTACACAAATTTGCACCGACAGATTTGAAGTTTGAGGCTCAAATTTCAATTGTACATCAACTTTACTTGTGTGAAAATGACCAAATTTGGAACAAGTTGCATAGGCAGACTGATTGAAGTCTTCAATTTCAGAAGTCCTCAAATTTTCTTCCTAAACTCCAAAAAGGAAAGCTGGCTAAGTAAATGCGCCGATTGGAACAAATTTGCAAGTCTAAAAAAAATTTCGAAAATAAATAAATAAATAAATAAAATTTCGTTAATATGAAAAGTACTTTACAAATAAATTTGACTACTTATCGATCTTTCTAGATATGAAGGGTCATAAATGAGCCACACTTTAATCCCAAGCATACCCAATTTATCTAAAATAAAGTGACACAAAAAACCTTGGAACATTAAATGCTACCTTTACTTTAGCACTTAGGTACTAGAAAAGGTTCAAGTTGGTTGAACTTGTAATGTCTAAAGTGGATTGCCAACAATATCATAACAATGTCAATTCACTCTTATATGTTCAAACACAAATACCATGTATGATCCAATAAACTAAACATCAACGATAAAATATCTGACTAATAACATATTATGTATTACGTCTTACTTGCATACTCTCTTACCGTAAGTGTGTAGCTAGAACGAGAAGGAATGTGAAATATCAAATAATAATTATACTACAATATAAACTCAAGATAAGATGATGACAAACACGTGCATCGTGATATGGATGTCAAGATATGTTAGACCACTCGTTCTATAGTAGGGTCGCACTAGCTTGACTAAATGGGGTAGAAGTCCTCGCGGATCATACCCACTAGATCTAGTGGATATGTTATCACAAACCTAAAAATGCATTAAAATCACTAAACATTATTGTTAAAATTAAAGCTCGTATGCCTCACTCGAACCTGCCGATTCAGTTCAAGTATTGCTAACATGGGCACAAAATATTTTAGATGTCTTATAACATACGCTAACGTGACAATTTTGACTCGACATGACACGATAACAAAAATATACGTGTAGAGACAAAGATTACGTACCATTAGCGAGATCAAGCAGAAAATCAGCAGGATTCATGGCAAAAGACGGCGAAAACCCAACAGACCCAAAATAGTTCATTGCTTCATTCCCTTTACCAAAGTACATACATCTCCCTTCAGACAAAACCAGCACCAGATCAAACATCTGATAAACTCGGCTAGACGGCTGATGCACAGACGTCACCACTGTCTTGCCCTTCTCCGCTGCCATCGCTGCCAGCGTCTCAACCAGCCGGAACGCCGCCGTCGAGTCCAATCCCGACGTGGGTTCGTCGAGAATCAGCAAACTTGGATTCACCAGCATTTCATGTGCTATGCTAACTCTCTTTCTTTCTCCACCAGAGATTCCTCGTATCAAACTGTTGCCGACAATTGTAGTTTCACATTTAACCAAACCCAATTCTCGTATAACAGATTCTGCAATGGAGATTTTGTCATTTTTGGACATAGAATTCGGCAACCTTAAAAGTGAACAAAAGATGAGAGTTTCTCGAACTGTCAAGTGGGGGAAGAGAACGTCATCTTGTGGAACAAAACCGGTTTTTTTAAGAACCGGTTTGGCTAATTTCCGGTCATTAGCAAGGATTTTTCCGGAGAGGCCATGACCGTGGTGGAGGCGGCCGGCGAGTGCATTTAGTAGAGTAGATTTTCCACTGCCGGAGGGGCCAAGTACGGCTAGGATTTGTCCCGGCGCCACCATGCCGGTGATCCCATCTAATATCATGCGTTCTTGATCAATGGTGGCAGTTGGATTCTCCACGTCGGACGATGATGTGGGGCTTCCTGATATTATCCTTCTTATGTTGTTGCCTCTTGAGTTGTTTCTCTCGAGCTTTATCCTATAGCTCACGTCAATGAACTGCACAAATTCAAATATAATCATCAAGAAATTATTGACAAGGTAAATATCGAAACTTCGATCGCTATGAATTTTTTAGAAATTGATAGTCGATTATTTGTGATGAATTGACAAATATGAGGTCATAAATTTCACATTCAAGATTCAAAATATGCATTTTCTTTTGATTACCTTGAGGGTTATTGGATAAGAAGAGGACATGATGGAATGCAAATCTATGGAGGGCTCTTCGTTAAGAGTTTCTGATCGTTGAACTGTATGAAGTCTAATCATACTGTATACTTTTCTCGGCCGCAATGTGAGGATGGAAAAGGAAAACGATGGCCAAGATTGGAGTATTGTTGAATTTAAGAGTGCAAGAAGAAGTATAAGAATGGAGCTAGAGGAGAAGTTGTATCTCTTTCTTATTACTCATCCCCCATCCCTATTTATTTAGTTTTGAGCACCAATGGTTATCACGTCATACTAAAAACCCAACATCAAATTTGCTACGTGGCATAAAACCCACAAAGCCAGCCATACGTTTGCTGAACCTTTTTTGGTTCATGAACTATATATTCCTATGTCCGTGTTTGATATTCATTAAAATGAATTTTTGGGGGAAAACATGAATTTTGAAATAGTGATTATTTTTAAAATATATGATTAAAAGGTAGAAAAAAATTTAAATTTACATGAAAAATATTTTATAGTGTAAATATGTAATTGAAAATGAGTTTTAAAAAAAATAGTTTTAAGTGAATGGATATCAAATGGGGGTTATATCATATATACAAATCTTTTAATATATACTATTCGTTATTTTTCATATTGAGTAATGGATTTTTCTAAAGTACCCAAAAGTTTGACATAGGAGTTGACACCACCCTCACATTTGCACGTGGGTCCCGACCTGAATAAAAAAATGCTGACCTCCCATGTGTGTGTGTGTGTTTGGTAATCATTTATGTCATCCATTATGTTTTTGTAACAAGACCTCGAGTAATATTATTCAGTACCATTGATGTGAAGTGTGTAGGTGATAATTGTGTTACATTAAATGATAAATTTAATTAAATGTAATGTACCAAATGTGACCACTTAAATTGATGATTTATCATTATTGGTGCTAGACTGCATTATTCCCTCGACTTAAGTAAAAATTCTGACTCCGCCGTTGACTCTCTCAAACTCTCCCTCTTACTTAAGAAGAAAGAGAAAGAAGCAATGAGGAAACAGCAACTATGGGAAGTGAAATAGGATATTACTGCTAACCTCCATTGAGAAATGAAAAATAACAGCAGGCACCTATAGATACGGATACGGATACAGATACAGATATAGATACATGGTTTTCAGTGTATATGGATTAGGTTCGAAAAAGTGAGAGAAAATCCAAGAGGGCTCACCAAGAAAATAAGCAATTTTTTCGAAGGGAGCAGATTCCAGAGGATATACATGTAGGGTATTGATTTGCTGCTTGTAAAATATCTCCACTTCTCTTTTCCAATCTAGGGTTACAGCTTTTCTTTGTCGACTGTGACATAATTAAGGATCATATCCTTGCATTTTTAAATGTTGTTTCTGTTATAATTTCTATTCTGGGGATGCTCCTAAGTTGAACTTGGAATTTGTTCGTTGACCAATTATGTCACGAAAAATGTGGAGCGTAGAAATTAAAATTCAGATTATATTTTAATAATATATTTTATAGATTCATAATTTTTTAATAATACATTTCATCAACTTTTATCAAAATGTACTAAGAATCTTAATCATAACCAAACAGTGGCATAGTCGTTATCTGGATCTCGTTCTTTAAAATCTTTTTTTTTTTTCAAATTCATGTTGAATTTTATATTCTTTCAATAAAATTTAAAAAAAATCTTACTTTTAATCTCATATATATTTTTTAAAAATATCTTTTTCAAAATTTATTCTAAAGAAATAGGGCACAAACAGTGGCATGTATTATTTAAAAAAAAAAAAGGAAAAAGAAATTGGATACAGAGCCATGGAATGTTATATGACAAGGAAAGTTTTATATTTTTATTCATGGATGATTACGGCGTGTGAAGTATAATAATTTAAACTTTCATTTTACTCGCATTTCTGGATAAGGAAAGTTTTGTACGGCCTCTGTTCCATAAAAATAGGTTTGCTTTTCTTTTCTTCCGTCTGTACCAAATTATAGACTATTTTTTCTTATTAATAGTATAGTTAATTTTTTTTTGTTTTCAAATATATCCTTATTTAATTTGTCTTATTATCAACAAATATAAATTACTCATATTTAAACAATTAATACCTCCATACTATAAAAATAGACTTGTTTCTATTTTCATACGGGCTAAGAAAATATAATTAATAATATTGAAAATATAAATTTTTCTTACATTTTTTCTAATATACCCCTACATTAAATAATTGTTTAAATAGAATTAAATTATTTGCTGATAATAAAGTACATTAAATAAGGATATATTAGAAAATAAAAAAATATATATATACTTTCGATAAAGAAAGTGACATATAATTTGAGACGGACTAAATTGAAAATCAAGCTTATCTTTATAGGACTAATTGAGTATTTAATGTAGTGTATATTAGAAAAAATTATATTTCAACTATATTAATTATATCTTCTTAATCTGTATGAAAATGAAAACAAACATATCTTTATGAGACGGATGAAACATTTATTTTATTGTATTATGCTTAAATTTTATCATTAACAAAGTATGCTATCTTGAGTTTTTTCTTTTCTTTTTCCTTTAAAAAAAAAGTATAGTATAAATCATTTTTTAAAATTCACTATTTAGTTTTAATTTTTTTCTAACATTAATTCAAACTCTAATCGCTTTTAATATTTTGTAGTATAAGAGTTCTAGTTTATAATTATGATAGTTTCTAATTTTTAGTGGAGTCGATGAGAAGTAAGAATACATGATTATTAAACAATCACTTTGAATTTTAAGAATTACTTATTTTGAAAGTAATTTTAGGGTACGTTTGATTGTAAGAATGAAACTAGTGTGTCACCCGTGCGATGCACGGATATTGTACTAAAAAATAAATTTATAAACGTTGAGATTAAATATTTCATTTGACTTAAAAAGGATTATTGAGGTTGTTATAAAAGTATATGAAATAAGTATCATATATGCGTTA